CCTCAAGCAGTTTCTTCCCATCAATTCAACATCAAATTGGACACCATGCTTTGATGAGCAGGCACAAAGAAGTTGAGACTATTGTGGACCTTAATGCTCGAATCCAAGCCGATCGTGATATCGTGAGGCTTTCTCAAGCCTTGTTAGATCCTGTCATTGAGAGATGCGCCTCAACAACATCTATTAGAACATCTGATTCATCTTCAGACCCTGTGAAGCTAGAAGATCATGTATCACCACATCATTTGTGTAGAGGTGGCAGAGAATGTGACTTTCTACAAGAGAGTGTCGGCTCAAGAGAAAACAACAACACTTTAGTTGAAAATACTAGAGGTGTTGAAAAGCTTGATGGTCTCTCGGAAACATCTGGAACGAAGTCTCATTCAAGTTCTTCAGTTATAACTCCTAACCATGTTAGGAATGTTGTGGGAGAGATGCAATTTTGGAAAGCAAGAAAGGCCATTATCAAGTAAGTACATTGATTACATTTGTTTCCAATTATTTTTAAGGTACTGAATATATAAATTAAAATTTTGGGATCATTTGGGTTTTTGTGATGCTTTAGGACATTTCAGCCCCTCAAATCCTTCAGCATTAGAAAACCAGTAAAAGAAGCAGCTACTTATGACCAGTAATGTTCTATTGCATCATTCAACTAACATGGGTGGTAGCTTTTGATCCAAGTTTTAGCTTCTTTATCCCTTTTGAAACTGGTAAATTTTAGAACCTCACATTTACCATGCACCTTTTCCCTCTTCCAACCCTCCTATTTTGCTTACACTTTTAGTTATTATTTCTAAGTGTTCATTAGATTTGAGTTGTAAATTCTATATTACCACTGCATCTAAGGTGTTTCTAACCCAATCATAGTCAATTTACATACACTACATGTTCTGTGCATGATCCTAAATGGTTTCTTCTTTTGTAGTCAACAAAGAACTTTTGTGGTGCAAGTTTTCGAGTTGCATCGTCTAGTTCAGGTAAACAAACTCAATCCCTTAACTATATTTGATAATATTTTATTCTCTTGCGAGCTTTCCAAACGAGGGTATTTGTTCACGCTACATTGTTTCTTGTGTCAAAAGGTACAAAGATTGATTGCTAGATCATCACATCTACTGCTTCAGCGAAATTCATTCACTGATGAAAACATGATAGAACCAAGAAAGAAGATGCAACCTAGGTGTGTTGCACAAAAACCAATAGACGGTATAATTTTTGATCAGACTGGTGATCTTAGTGCCTTCCCCAAGCTTCCTCGGGTAGATTATGAGGATGTTTTGCGCAAATCACCATCTACTACTATTGCTACTACAAAAAATATGAAGCCACCACCACCACTAACTACTACCAACTGCTTACAAGCTGGAAATCAGTGGTTAGTTCCAGTCATGTCCCCTTCCGAAGGGCTTGTCTACAAGCCTTACTCTGGGCCAAGTTGTCCTCCAACTTCTTCATTCACTATGGCATCCCCATACTACGGAGCAGAACCATGTGACATTGCTAAACATGGAGAAATATTCACAACCATAAACAATCATGCGACATTAAGCCAACATGCCTACTTTCCACCATTTGGCCATTTACCCACTCCACTTTTGCCAAAGGAAAATCATATTTCATCAGTTAGAGAAGTCAACAAAAGCACTTCAATATGGAATTGTCCTGAAAACCGTCAAGTGTCAAAGGAAGGACGTACAACAACTCGTGCTATTGAGAAAGATAGATGGGATCATGATGATGCCCTACCACTTTTCCCCCTTGAACCTATGGTGCAGGTGGTGATGTCTGATAAGAAATGTCAGATTAATGAGCAACGAACTCGAGTGATTAAAGTTGTGCCTCATAATCCTATATCGGCGAGTGAGTCTGCTGCTCGAATCTTTCGATTTATACAAGAGGAAAGGAAACAAAATTATAGTTAGTCTTTTGTAGGATAAATAAAAAAAAAAGGAATGAAATGCAAGGAGATAGAGTCACATCACTATGCATACATAAAACTATATTTGTATGTCTGGATACTGTGACAAATAGAAGAAAATGAGTAGTTGTGACAAGGTAGTTCAAAATAGATTTCAGTTGGTTTTGGGTATGGTACTTTAGCTTCGTTAACTTAATGTTTTGAATTTCGATTAGTGATATCCCACTAAAGACAGTTTGAGTAAACTACCACAAAAAGGCATTTGGAGGTAGTTCAAAATGGATTTCGATTGTTTTTGTATAATATTTTAGCTTTGATTAGCTTAATGTTATGAATCCTGATTTGTGATATCCCATTAAAGACATTGTGAGTAATATGAACATAAGAAAATTGGGTATTCGGAGAATCAACTCCCACACGGCCTTCAATGGCTGTTTGAGGATGATCAAATGATTCTAGAAAAAAAAAACACTTCACATTTTCACCGGTAATTATGTAAAATATGTTTTTAGCAATATTAAAAATTGTTGTCATTTGTTTATTTTAAACAACTAGTGATGTTTTCTCTAAAAATTCGAATTCATTAAATAAAACCTAATTAAAACAAATACGTGTCGGACCCTTATTAAAAAAACAACACTTTGCGGACTAGACAACCCGAAATGAAGTTTATTGTTGAGTTGTGTGCGGTTGTCCCAGAGAATGGTGGCTTAACGGTCATGTCCATTAAGTTCATAGAGCTTAGAGGGTTAACGAATGTTGATAACTAGCTACTATCAAGAACCAGTTGGTTCCAATAACTCGAGTTGTTGGGTGAAGGTTATGCTAGATCTTATACCACACTCTTACATGCCCCCTCAAACAAAAGCCAACTCATGGGGTTGAAGTTTTCATAGGCCCATTATACCTTGTGCTTTTAATAAACTGTTAATATTTGGGGTTGTGGAGATTCGAAGACACGACCACTTGGTCAAACCAGTTTTGATACCATGTTATAAACCAGTTGGTCCCAATAACTCGAGTTGTTAGGAGAGAGGTTCAATCGTGGATCATATTCCGCTCACTAATACACCCCCTCAAACTAAAGCTAATCACCTCGTAAGGGCTTTCATTTGCACATGTCTTGAACACTAGAATACATGTGCTTCACAAATGGGATAACCAGGATTCGAACACAAAACCTCTCGGTCACAAAAGGCTCTAATATCATGTCAAGAACCAGTTGGTCCCAATAACTCGAGTTGTTGAGAGAAGGTTATGCTGGATCTTAGACCACACTCTTACATGCCCCGTCAAACGAAAGCCAACCCATGGGCTTTAAGTTTGCACAGGCGATCACCATACCTTATGCTTTAAATCAACTGTTAATATTGGGGGTTGTGGAGATTCGAACACATGACCACTTGACCAAACCAGCTCTGATACCATGTCAAGAACCATTTGGTCCCAATAACTTGAATTGTTGGGAAAAGAGGTTCAATCGTGGATCACAGTGGTGGAGCCACGTTGAGCTTAGGGTGGATTATAGCCCCCCCCCCCAACTTTTGAAAATAGGTAAATTTACATGGAAAATGTGTAACAAATTCTAAAAATAGACTAGTTGGTAAGCCACTAGCCACCCTCACCAATGAGGCAATGACCATGGTTCAAACCACTCAAGTGTATATTTTTTAGCCCCCTTGTTCAAATTTCTGGCTCTGTCACTGGTGGATAATCACATAAATGATAACATCCCATATGATATGGGTTTACTAAGAGAAAGGACTGTCCTTGTTTAGTGTCCTGTTCAACAGAGGAAGAAAAATGGGTTGTACAACGAGGGAGAGTCGCCTCTCCTCAAGAAAACAAAAGGCATCACAGCAGTTCTCCAGAGTCACCTCTCCCCTCCGGCTGTCTCTACTTTGCCTCGGGCCTCTGTTAGGTCAGCTGGCCCGTTCCGCCATCACATTCTCCAGCGTCCCTTCTTCCATGAATCGTACACCACAACACCAGGATCCTCCGCGATTTGCCGAGGCACCATCCTAGAGTGTCACCAGATGCGGGCACCCGGATCCGGCGTCGTTCCTGGTTTAGAAAATTCTCAACGGACTTCACTTCCGTCCGGTAATGCCCCTTCTTGTTTGATTTTTTGATGGATGGGTTTGTGGTTTGTTCTCTGCTATTCATGCCGGAGACCACAAGGTCTTTCCCGTAGACTCCGGTGAGATGCGAGATCGGCGGCCAAAATTTTGGGGTGGGTGCTGACGAACCGTTTCACCTGGCTACTTCTCATTAATGTTAAATAACATCCCACTTTTTACTGCCTGCCATTAAGGGCTCTTTTACTGCTGGTGTCTTCACTGTTGAGGCTTTTGAATTGTTTAAAGTGTTTGAGTTTTAATTTCCCTTTATATCTATTTAATAGAATTGGTATTTTAATCTTTAATTCATTTTTACCTAAGGTCCAATTACTGGAGATGCGACTTCATCAACCGGTTCAAGCATGAGCTGAAGCTGCAGAGGCTCGACAATGGCAGGTTCCGTTAATGGTAATTATAGGCCTTCAATATGTTATTTATTGGCAGTTAATGGGTTTGACTAACCAAATGGACACAGCAAGTTTGATCTTTTACACATAAATAAGTTTTTGAAGTGGGGTGGATTTTTTTACTTCCAAATTGGTTTAATGGATAACCTATGGTATCTTAATTCATAGATAACTGGGTTCCAGGGGATAAACCCTTAATTCCGAGTACCCGACCCCATATTCAAAAGGGCAAATACCACTACAATACCCGAACTATCCGAAAATTGTCACTTGTGTCCTATTGTATTCAATATTCCATTTCTATCCCGTCGTATAATACTTTTGTGTCATTTGTATCCTATCACTTTCATTGACCGTTAAAGATAATAGTTGACCAGACGGTGGTCAATGTGATGTTGACTATTGATGACGTGGCAAAAATGTGGCAGCCATGTCAACGCCACATCATTAACACATAATTTCTATTAATTCATAATAAAATTAAATTAAAAAATAAATCGCAAATTAAAAAAATCAAAATAATATTTTTTACAAGTCTTTCTTCCCATCCTTGTTTCATCTTCCCCATCGACCTCTGGACGAATTCACGGTGAGCTACCAGCACCTTCCGCCTAGTCGACGTTGTCGACAAGACCTCCCTGATTCCCAACCCTCTCACAACCCTCAACCCCTCTGTTTCCCCTCTGAGTTCTTTTGTTACATATGAAAATTCCCCGTTGAAATCCTATCGATTACTAATCGTGTCCCAAACGAACAAATCTCCTTACATTCACCATAGAGGGAGTTACTGAGCTATGCGGCGATTTAAGGCCCATCATCACCAAATGGAAACAAAGTTGAATCAACGAGCCACCGTAGAGGATAGATAGATCTGAAAAATGAATCAGCGACCTATGGATTTCGCCAGGGAAAGATAGATCTGAAAATGAATCGACTATCTATGGAGATGTGACGTGGAGCTGGAGATGGGAAAACTCGTTGCCTGATTTCCTCTCTCTCCCGCTTGCTTTCTCTCTCTCTCTCTTGGATCCTCTCCAGCCCCTTCTTCTTCGCTTCGAAGATCCCGTCTCCACCGCCTCTACAACGGAAGGCGCACCCATCTCCCTCGCCCGGCTTGAAGAAATCGCGAGGATCTCTGGGAACATCGCCTGGGGTTCGATTTGAATCTGAATATGAGGCATGGAAGAGTTGTTCGTTGAAATAGGGGAATCGTCGAAGGCATGAGAGGAGGGAGGGACGATAGGAGAGAAGAACGATGAAAAGGAGAGATATGAAGCGATACCCTGTGGAGAGAGAAAGGAATAGAAAAGCGTGGCCGCCGATGAGGGATTCATCAGAGATCAAAGGGAAAAGATGTTTGGAGATGAGGCGACGAACGACATATCGGGTGCAATTGATTGGAGTTTTGGCTAGACAGTGCGGCTTTTCCTTCAGAAGTTGCAGAGAAGAAAAAGAGAATTGATTTAAGTTTTTGCTTTTATTTTTTCAATTTTATTTTTCTTAATTTATTGATTTTGGATAGAAAAATAAATAAAATTTTAATTTCAATATCCACGTCAGATGCCACATCAACAATGACTAGTCTTTCTGTTAAATATTAACGATCAACGCTGGTCAACACTAACGGAAAAATAGTTCAGGATAGAAATGGAATATTTGATACAATAGGACACAAGTGGCATTTTTCGGATAGTTCGGGTGTTGTAGTGGTATTTTCCCTATTCAAAATGGATCACCTATGGTATCTTATTTCATAAAAGAAGGCCAAGGGGAATGGGACGTATCAAAACTCCATAATTGCTTTGAACCTCAATCGGTTGATCTCATCAGGAGAATTCCTCTTCCTCGCTACCCACAACAAGACATTAGAGTGTGGACCTATCCCAAGGATGGGAAATACATTGTCAAATCGGGCTATCACTTAGCTCTGGAGATAACATTGGCATTAAGCCGAAAATCGATAGTGCATATCATTGATCCTCCTATTTGGAAAAAGACTTGGAATATCCAAGTCCCGCCTAAGCTCAAATTTTTCATATGGCAATGCCTCAAAGTCATACTTCCCACAGTAGTGGCCCTTCAATCTCGTGGAGTCAACTGTCTCAACCGATGCCCTGTCTGCTGGAGACATCAAGAAAGCATTGAACATTTATTCTTCAGATGCCCCTAGCCACCAGATTGTGGACTTTAGTGGGATTGAGCAACTTTATTGAGACCGCCCAGACTGTTAACTTTAGTCTACGGTGGCGACATGTCATGGTCTCCGAGACCTCCCCATTCCACATTCTCCAATGCGTCTGTTTACTTTGGAGAATCTTGAAGTCTAGAAATAAAGTGACCTTCAAATTTATCCAACCCCATGTCCGTTCCCTAGCCAGAAAGTTCTACATCCAGGTCCTCAAATTCTCCAATCTTCTTCCTCCTCCTCCGCCCCGCAACTCTCTAATCCCAAATCATCCTGCCAAACTTGGGTCCCTCCACCAGAAGACTTTTTGAAGATCAACGTCGACGCAGCTGTTTGTGCCACCGGTTGTTCGTCTGGGCTTGTTATCCGTGGGTCAGACGGGCATGTGGTGTTGGCGCTCGGGCTGCAGCATCAATGAATAGTCAATCCTTATCTGGTAGAGCTTCTAGCTTTTAGAGACGCCATCTCCATCGTAGCCTCAAGATCCTTGGCCCACGTGATAGTCGAAGGTGATTCCGAAGTGGTGGTCAACCAAGTCCGTCAAGGCGTCATTGAAGACTCGATTGGTGGTCCGGTGTTACGAGAGTGTCTTCAGATCCTTAGCTCTTTGTCTGTTTGTATAGAGTTTAGGGCGGTACCTAGATCTGCCAACAATCCTGCACATAGAGTGGCGCGTAAAGCACAGTTTTTGTTTCGTGTAGAGCTAGAATCATTTGATTTTTTGGGGTGGCTTCTTTAGAATCTGTTACGGGTCCTAGGTAGAATTGTATGTTTAACTATTTTCTTCCATTGATATCACTCAGAAATAAAAAAAAAATCACATAAATGATAAATGTATTGTAGGTAAGATTAATCTAGTGCACCTCACATCACATGTGTGGGGAAGATCCGAGTATTTCATTATGATATATAAAGCAAAACTCGGATTACTGTTCACTAAGACAGGCAGACAATTATGAGAATATGTTAGGTCTATTTTATTTGGGCCAATGGGACTATGATTATCTATGAATAATTTGGGTTGAAAAAAATAAAAACTAAGTAAAAGTGGTAAAAATGTGTGATAGGTTGTCAAATCGGTTTATATTGTTGTGCAGATTTAGCAAGTAGTATGGTTTGATTGGTGGTATAATTAATTTGTGTCGGTTCATAAAATATATAAACAAGTGGTATGGTTTGACTGGTGGTACAACCGATTTGTGTCGGTTCATGTCGGGTTAATAAATATATAAATAAGTGGTATGGTTCGACTGATGGTCCAACCGATATGTGCCGGTTCATATCAGTTTAGTAAGAAATATAAACAAGTGGTATGGTTCGGTTGGTGGTACAACCGATTTGTGCCGGTTCATGTCGGTTTAATATATATATATATATATGGTGGTGTCTTCGGTGCACTCACTTTTTTGGGTGCATTCAATGCACTCACTTCATAACCGTCATTTTAAACATGCGATTTATGTCAAAATGATGTCAATCATCACTTATTATGTGATGAACAATAACGCACATGAATTTGCACAAAAATCATTGAATATTTACTTTAATTTGAAGAATTTAGAGTTTAGAGATTCAGGGTTAGGGTGAGGGTTTACAATTTGGGGTTTAGGATAGAACTCAAAATTAGAAGTCTAGGGCTTAGGGTAATCTGTTAATTAGTTGTTATCATATGTTATATCATATTACACTAATTATACAAATTAAAATTCAAAATCTGACACCTTAAGACTAGTTTTTGAGTTGGGTGCATTGAACGCACTCATTTTTAAATGCATTGAAGTATATATAAAATATATTTGAACACAATTACTTATGATCTATATTTATATTTAAATAAAATACAATAATTTAAATAATATAACAAAATTCATATTTAAATACAATAATTAACGTCAAAAATCAAACTTTTATATTTGAATTTAACATATAATATCAATATTTAATTTTAAATTCAAGAAATAAATTTATAAGTTAATTGTTTTAATGAAATTAACTACAATATCGTCATTTTGTAGTCCAAAAATCGATCATGTCGATAATACCAGTGCATGCCAGTTTTATTTACGACACTGGTTAAACCATATTAACCCGGCCAATATTCCAATGACATGACAACCATGAGTACTATCAGCAAAGAATCAACTAAGGAAATTTTTTAGTTAGTTAGTTATTCTTATTTTATAGAATTATCTTTTAAAGAAATTTATTAGTTATTTCCCTGCGTTTTTGGTAACGGGCAATTGTTCTGTTGCAAATTTTTTATTATCAAACAGACCCGCCTCTTTTCTAGTTTTCATATAAATTTTGTCCTTACCGCCCATGCAAAATAGTTACTGATGTACATAAAATCATGGATTTGTCCAAATTTCATTGTTTGATTCATATATCTAGGTGTACTAAATATGTGAGAATCATGGATTTTGAATATCCAAATTTGTGGGTTCTACAGACTTGAAAATTGCACTTGTTTGGATGAGAATTGATCATAGTGGATCTCCTCTGTGGTTACGGAAATAGAGTCAAGAGCGACAGTCTTAGAGATCTGAGTACACCCTGTTCTGTCTTAGAAAGAAGGTAAACCCTGAAAGCATAAAACCCAGCGCCTAGGGTTGAGGCTCATAGATATGTACAATCCAAGGCAAACTGGGGCAAAAGCTTTCGGCATACAGAAACAATGGCATCCACAAATAATAAGGAAGAAGAAGCTGCTATCAAAGAAGCGGCCCGAGGGAAGTTGGATTCCACGGTGGGAATCGAAGAAAGACTCGATCTAATAAACCTAGCCGAAGACGATGAAGAACTCCTTGAAGTTGAAGATACTGATGTTGATATAGTCAGAATGGAAGCAGTTCGCCATCTAGGGCTAATTGGCAGATTGATATCTGAAAAGGAACCAAATATTCAGTCAATGAAGATTGCACTAACCAAAGCGTGGGGTCTGAAGAAAGGATTTCAGATCACAGAGTTGGGGAACAACCTGTTCGCTTTCCAATTCTAGAGATGGATGACCGAAACAAGGTCTGTTATGGGGGGCCTTGGCACTTTGAAAACAACGCAATGTTGTTTATGGCGAGCTGGTGGATCAAGAAACAAACGCCAGAAGACCCGCATAAAATGGAGATATGGTTACAGATCAAAGAATTGCCAGCGGAGTTAAGAACACAATCCATGCCTGAAAAAATTGCTAATAGAATTGGAGAGTGTGTGTTCTTCAACGATAGTTCAGACAAGATGTGAGATGATTTTCTGCGAATAAGGGTTAGTATCTCAATCACCAAACCTCTGAAAAAGAAGATAAAGCTTAATATACGGGGAGAACTAAAAGAATTTCTGGTGAAGTATGAGAAGTTGCCACTATTCTGCCACTCATGTGGAAGAATTGGGCATGTGAAAACTAATATCCACAACCCTAACAATTGGAGGTGGATCCCTATGGTTTCGACATGAGGACCGCTCCTCCAGCCCCGAGGAACTGGTTATCATACAAAGCAAGAAAGGAAGAAGCAGATATATGGAGACAACTTCGAAGGAAGTTCGATATGGAAAGTTCAGGATCAAATTCGGAAAAAGAAGGACAATAGAGTAAAGATGATAAGCAGAGAATGTCAGAATTCACCTCACAAGGGGAGAAGTTGGAGCCCGAACCCATGGAAACACAACCTCCTAAAATAAACCAACAACACATGGGGTCAGAGGAGGGTAATATAGAGCATAACAGATACAAAGAGAAGGAGGTAGCTTGGAATCTCTTAAGCTTGGAAGCAAACAGACCATCAATGGAAACAAAGGCTATAGCACAAAAGACAAAAGAAGGATCCGTGCAAAAAATTGTGATGACTAGTGACAATGGTCCCAAAGAGAAACGGCTGATGGATAGGGTATGGAAGAGACACGATCAAACAAAGCCTAGACCATCTGACACGCTAAAACACAACACCAAACTGCGACCAAGTGCAATCGCAGAATGGAAATGCAGAATAGTGGCAAGTTCAATTTATCAACCCGGGTTCTAGATCTACTGCCTACTCCGTGACTACCTGTTATCTAGTGGGACTAAGTGTGGTGAGAGTGATTGCAAACAAAACCAGTTTGAAAGCAGGAAATGGTTCGAAGTTCTTAAGCAAGGGAAGAGTCATTCGTGAATGAGTCCCCCTAGCACCTTAGTTAGGTCAAAGTTGTGATTTCCTTTGGTTGA